CTGTAGATGGCTGCAGATGGCTGTATACAACTGTAGACGGCTGTAGACGGCTGTAGATGGCTGTAGATGACTGTAGATGGCTGCAGATGGCTGTATACAACTGTAGACGGCTGCAGATGGCTGTAGATGGCTGCAGACGGCTGATGGCTGCAGATGGCTGTAGACGACTGTATACGACTGTAGACGACTGTGGTTTGTTCTAACTGGAAATGAAAAGCTATTAAAACCATTTCACAGACAGAAACTAAAAACTGATTCAACTGGGACATGAACCTTTAACCTAGACCTGGACACCTCCCTTTAGAGGTTTTTGGTATATTCTGCTAGGAGACGACCCAGAACTTGGAGAGATTACTGGTATACTGTATATCCTTTAGGTCTGGGAACAACTTGATGTCCTCCAGGAGGAACTGGAGAGTTTCTCTGAGAAAAGGGAGGTCTGGGTTTCTCTCTGGGTTTATCCCTCAACTCGACCACAGATGAGAGGTAGAAGATGGAGATGTGAATATAAAGTACTCGGTGCCTGTTTTCCAGAAACGAGAACCAGCAGAAAACTGCTGGAGACCCAGCTTCACTGTGGGATCCCCAACAAGGACCTGGTGGACGATGTGGACATGGTGGTACGAGAAAGGACCAGGAGGAAGAGGGTGGTGGGAGGAATCCCAGCAAACCCCGTGAGTCTGAATCACTGACGTTCAACATGTGTCCTTATCTCAGCTCAGATCTGCCTTTAACTTCAAGTTGTATCATGATCACATCTGATATCACGTCATCTAAAAACCGTGCAGACATCCACGTCAGGTCGTTTAATTGATGATACGTTTAGTAAATGTTGTTCGTACCGCTGCATTACCCAGATTCACTAGTTGTCAAAATGGACTTTGGTTTGTTCTAAGATGATGGGTCAGGAGGATCTTTCCTCTGGTCCTGACCTGAGGCATTGAGGTTGTCCAGTGAACGTTCAGGGACAATGGTTAGACTCAACAGGAAGTTTGGAACAACTTGTTGATGCTTCTTCCTGTTGGTGTGCAGACCCAGATCCAGTGGCAGATCGCTCTGGAGGAAAACAAGAGGATCGACTGTGGAGGAGCGTACATTGGAGACTGCTGGGTCCTCACGGCCGCTCACTGCGTCAGGTCGGGCACAAAACACACAGACGACCACAAGATCTCGTTTTTCACAAAGACCAGTCAATAAATCCAGCGAGTCAAAGAAACACAAAAAGAAAACTCTTTTCTAGAATGTGTGAATTAAATTAAAGTATTTAAAGATGAAGCCCGAACAGAAAGTGGATCGTCGGTCCTGATGGTCATAATTAAATGTCTGAAAGTTTCTGAATTGTTCTCGTTACATCTGTTTTTCTGCTCGTAACTCGTTCTGCAGTTTTTCTTCCATTTCAACAAGTCATGAATCAAAATGTTCGGCTCCTTCAGGACATTCCTGCTGGCACTTTTGGTTTTTGTGCACATTTTACAGTATTTAACTTTGTCGGCCATGTTGTTCTCTCTGAAAATGAAAGGGGCTGTCTTCAAACACTTTGTCCTGGTTCAGCTCCTTTCAGCTTCTTTCAGCTAATTTCACATTTTTTCCTGCTTTCTCAGCTACATTTCTGCTATTTTTCTGCAGCTATCAGCTTTTTGGCTACTTTTTACCTAACTTCAGCTTTTATGAGCTCTTTTCAGCTACTTTCTGCCAATTTTTCATTAATTCATTCAACCTTTATTTGTACAGGTAAACCCCATTGACCCTCGAGGACTCATTTACAAGAGAGACCTGATTTCAACAAAGAAAGATGACAACAATGGACAACAGCAACAACAATAAACAGTTATAAAAGAGGCATACAGATTTTATTTTATATTTTCTTACAAATAGGATGGCTAAAAAAGTAACAAAAAACAGCTAGATTATAAGGTGAATGTAGAAAACTAAAACCAGGAACATGTCTGCATTGGTCCCTGCCAGCAGTCCAACAGATTCTTAAAGTCACTCAGAGAGGTCAAAGGTCGAGAGCTTCAGATCTTTTTACAAGATATTCCAGGAAACAGGAGCGGAGTAGGAGAAGGTCCTTTTGTCTAGTTCAGTCCTCACTGAGGGAACACTGCAGGTAATGATGTCCTGAGAGTGCACGCTGTAGCTGCACTCACACAGAGACATGTAGGAGGAGATGTCAGAGTCAGAGTTTCTTTATTGTCATTCGCACCTCATGTGGTACATGTGGTGGAGCGAAATTATGTACACAGGGTCCCAGTTACATCCAACAATAAAATGTCTAAGAAAAACAGTAATAACATCTAAGATATGAACTAAGAAAAACATCAACTAAATATACACTAAGCACTCATAACATAAAACATTGAACATCAGCACAAACATGAACATGAGTCTGTGAGCAGATGTGCACGCATGAACACATCAACATTGAAACAGATCAGCAGCAACATGAAACAGATCAGCAGCAACATGAAACAGATCAGCAGCAACTTGAAACAGATCAGCAGCAACTTGAAACAGATCAGCAGCAACATGAAACAGATCAGCAGCAACATGAAACAGATCAGCAGCAACATGGAACAGATCAGCAGCAACATGATATGGTTTTTCACAGTGATTATTCTAGTTAGAGATTCATGAGTCTAACAGCCTCAGGGTAGAAGCTGTTCCTCAGTCTAGTGGTTCTACACTTATGTATGAAGGCAGCAGACGAAGAAGTGATTTAAAGAACTTTTTTTAAAGACTTTCAGCTTTTGTTTTCTTTAGGGCTCTTTCTGCTACTTTCAGCTTTTTGTACTTTTTTCATCTGCTAATTTTAGCTGTTTGTGCTCTACTAAGCTTCTTTTTTCAGCTGTTTTATTTTCCTTTTTGTTTTTCAGCATTTTCTGCTACTGTTAGCTTCTTTCAGCCAATTTTAGATAATTACAGCTTTCTGAGCTCTTTTTAGTTTCTCATTTCTACTTTTCAGTTACTGGTGTATTTTAAGTAAGCTTTAGCGTCCTTTAGCTTTAGCTTGTTCAGCAGCTTTCAGCAACAAGCATTCACACTGCGTTGACAGATTTTCACTCTTCTTTGGATCATCTGTTTCCCAGGCAGAACCCATTGGCGTTCAAAGTGAAGTTCTCTCTCTGGAAGAAGCGTCGAGCTCAAGAAACAACGGACATCGTTCCTGTGGAAGACATCCGCATCCATCCAAAGTAGAGCACCGTCGCAGCTGAATGTAAACGTAACGTTTTATCAGATGAGCCAAAGTGTTTGTGTGTGAATCTTCCCTGCAGCTACGTCCCCACCACCTACGAGAATGACATCGCCCTGATAAAGCTGCAGAAGCTTCCTTTCTCAGATAAATGCTTCTACGACAACCCGGCCATCAGGGCTGTGTGCATCCCCTGGTCTACTCAGCTGTTCCAACCCAACCACACCTGCAGCATCTCCGGGTGGGGGCGGACAGCAGGTACAACCTCCACCGTACAGACAGAAAATCGTGTTTTCATCCTCACGGAAAGTGAAACTATGGAGTAACAGTCTCCTCCAGTGGTTCAAAATTATAATAAATATGAAGAAGATTCAATAAAACTGTCAACAACCTGTATTACTGCACAATATTGGTACCTCGGTAGTTTTAATGTTCGTGATGCCAGTTATTTTGAGGTTGCACATATGGTTTCAGTCCACTATCTGGTTCTAGGCTCAGGTCTTGGGGGCAGCAGCTGGATCAGGGAGGTCCAGATATCTCTTCCAGCTCTTCTGGGAGGACTCCAAGGTGTTCCCAGACCAGCTGAGAGACATAAGCAGCTTTGTCATTGATACGTGTGACTCGAGCCGATTCTCTTCTTGTCGGTTCTTCTCAGGTGGATTGCCACTGTGACTTGTTTCCCTATGGGTGGGACCGTGACAGGTCATCGTGCACAATGCTCCGATGGTATTGTTCACTGTGACAGTCAGTACTCAACCATGGAGGACTTCAAGCTGCTACGTTTCATTCTGATGCTCACACTCTTAGGAAGAAGACAAGAATGTACAACGATCGGGAAACGGTGAATCAGATGTAGTTTGTAGTTCTGCTGGACAAGTCATCCAGTGACGTAGCTCCACTGGCCAGTCAGCGGCTGCTGTCTGCTTACGTTAAAATCACCCCTTCAGAGCAGTCCGCTTGGAACCACGAACAAGGTGGTCCCACAAACCGGGCTAAGTGGGGTGGTACCGGCAGTGGCAAGGCCCTAACTCGTGTGATGTGAACCAATGAGAGCTGAGACTGTGGAAAAGTGCCAATAGTTTCTCCAGCATGTCCAGAGTCTTATGCCCAAACACCTCCCCCCAGAGGAGTCAGTCCATTCTGTCACCCATCTTTTTCCACTTATCTGTGGTCGGCTCTTGGAGTTACCTGGTCTCCAGCTCTACCCAGGGAACCCAAAGGTGTTCACAGAGCCTCCCTCAAGGTTGCATCCTTCCTCCAACATACTGTATATTAAAAACCAATGACTGTAGAGGTTCTTACAGGAAGTCACGTTCTGAAGTATTAAATTGTGACACTGCAGAGGATGACGCCTGGTCAGGTGGATGATTTCACTGAATGGCACATGTTCTTTTCAAGGACACAATGGGGCGGCTGTGGCTGAGTGGCTAGAGCAGTCGTCCTCCAATTAAAGAGTTGGGGGTTCAATTCCACCAGCAGTCACATGCCGAAGTGTCTCTGGGCAAGACACTGAACCCATCACTGCCTCAGATGTGCGTCCCATCAGTGTATGAATGTGATAAAGCTCTGATTATTCTTTGTAGAGATCTAGTATAGAGCTGTATGAATGTGA